GGCCCGGCGAACTCGGCGACCTGCCCGGCCCGCCCCCGGCGCGCCACTCACCGAAGAAGCCCTGCACGATCCCGAGCGGGTGGCTGAGCCAGTCCTCCCCGCAGGGCATCTCGCCGAGGCCCGGGTGGCGGCTCTCCACGGCCGAGCGCGGCCGGCTCCTCCTCAGGGGCTCGGCCGCTCCTCGCCCGCGCCCTCCCACGCACAGCGGAGCGCCGGCCGCCCGACCTCCCCGCGCCTCTGGGAGCAGCTGCTGCGGCGGTGAACACCAAAGAGCTACAGGCGACCCGCGGTCCAGGCGCGCGGGCCCCAGCCTCCACTTCGCACAATGGCGGGAAACAGCCGCTGCCGACAGCTCGGCTAGCGACCTGGGTGGAGCTCGCCCGGGAGGGGCGGCGGGAGCGCGCGGCGCGGCCCCGCGCAGGAGGGCGGGGCAGCTCTTTCCGGAGGCGGGGAGGAGGGCGGGGCCGCGACGTGGGCGGCGGCCGCCATCTTGGAGTCGGGCAAAAGAAGGGCATCCGGGAGGCGCGCCAGGCCGCGGCGTGTTGCTCCGCCCGCGCGGAGGCGAAACTCTTGGGAGTCCGACTCTTGTGAATTCTTCTTCGCTCAAGGGCTGAAACAGTGCGGACTCAAAGCGACCGCAGAATCACCTCTGGGCAAAAGTAGTGGCTGAATTACAATTTTGCATCCGCCACTTCCTATAAGTGCCTTTTTTTTTTTTTTTTTTCGGCTGGTGGCAACTCTGGCGCGCTTATTGAAACCTCAATGTAGGGTAAAATCTGCTGAAATCCTGGGTAAAGACTGCTTCAGTTGATAAAATCCTCCTGAGGATGCTGCATATTTAGATAAGGGGCACTTTAAAGCTCCCAGCCACACTGTGCTGTCTCCCCAGGCATTATGGCAGAAGGACCGGTTTCTGACATGACGGGAGAGGCAAATGCTTACAAACTTGCTCCTGCCCCAACCTTTGGCCCAGGACTCAGAAGCCAGCCTGCTCAGCCCTCACCTCCTGGTACTGGGGATTGAACGCAGGGCTTTCTCATTGGGCTACATCTCCAGCCCTGTTTATTTGGAGGTAAGGTCTCGCTAAATGGCGCAGGCTGAGTTTGAACTTGCGATCTTCTCAGAGTACTGATCTTCTCAGAGTACCGGTGTGCACAGCCACACACTGCTCAGCCTGGTCTGCTTTTGCCTCGAAGCTGCATCTGTTGGGTAGCAGTAGTGAGGGCTCTACACTATATGGATTTGGATAATGTAAAAAAGATGGGCAAGATCAATTCTACAGTAACCTGTTCCTAAGGAATTTAGAAAATGTTAAGTACTGAAACTTTTCCGTGGTCCTGGAATGTACCTCAGAAAAAACCCCAAACTCCTCAGACTGGAAAATGGGTGAGATGATCACAATGGAATCTGGAAAGTGGGGAGCTGAAGACCAAGAACTGAGCTCGGAGGGTGGGTGCAGCTCAGTGGTAGAGCCTTTACGTAGCCTGCATGCCTACCATGGTTGAACTCTAGCACTACAGAAAAATGAACCCAGATTTCCCGCCAACACCACACCTTAGGGCTGCTGTGGAGGAGAAAAACCTTCCCTTTATGCTTCTCAGTTCTCCACTGGGACTCCTATAACAAAGCACACATTAACAAGAGAAGAGCAAGTATTTGAACGTATATATCCCGTATGTACATGAGAGAAACTCAGGGAAGTTGGAAAACTCAAAGTGCCTCGGAATCTGGGCTTATATAACATCCTCAACAAATAAATTTAGAGAAATAATGACACAAAGGAAAGAAGTAAGCTTCTTAGTTTTCTTGTTGAGACAAAATACCTGACACCCACAATTTAAGGGAGGAAAGGTTTCTTCAGCTCAAAGTTTGCACAGGTTTCAGTCTGTAGTCACAGTAGCATGGCAGAGGGCCACTGCAGAGGAGAAACGGTCCATGGTATGGAAGGGCAGAGGAAGGCAGCAAAGCAGCAGCAGCAAAACTAACAGCCGCAGCAGCCTTCTTTGTGTCCCTTTATATTCTATGCAGGCTGAAAACCTGCTGATTGGTACCATCCACATCCAGGGTAGAGTACCCTTTTGTCCCAGCATCGTATCATTAATCCTAGTATCACATCTTTAATTCCAGCATCACATACCCTAGATCTAACCACCTCCCCAAAACCCTACCTCTTACAGCATGGGGATTTGGGGAGACTTCCAGATAAAAATCCATAACAGCTTCCAAAGCTGGCAAACTGTGGGAAAGTAAAGACATGGGAAACTAATTGAAGATACAGTTTGGTTAGTATATTTGTTATATAAATTCTCTTGCCATCTTTGGTTTGATAAGGTTCTAAAGTTGCCTCTGGTCATAAACTTTTGTCCTCCCTGGCAGAGAGGTGAAGAGAGACACCTTTAAACTGTTATATCCTACTTTTAGGCAAACTGCAAGAGTGCAAGGAGCATTTTTTGTATCTTTTCCTTTTAATGAACTTAAAATTTTTCTTTGTACATGTGTGCAGTATGTAATGATTACATTTATCATGGGGAGCTGGTACATGTACATAACACATCTTTTTTTTTTTTTTTTTTTTTTTGGTACCGGGAATGGAACTCGGGACCTTACACTTGCCAGGCAGGTGCTTGTGCTGCTGAGCTATATCCCCGGCCCCATAACACACCATAAATCTTGCATCTTTTCAGTTGCTTTCAGCTCAAGGTTATCTTTATGCCAAAGTGACGTATTTTGGGATAACATTCTGCTTTTTTTGTTTGTTTGTTTTTTGGTTTTTCTCTGGTACCGGGAACCGAACTCACGACCTTGCGCTTGCCAGGCAGGCACTTTTGCCGCTGAGCTAAATCCCCAGCCCCT